AAACCATTCATAAATCTTGTCAGTAGTACGCCACATGATAAATTACATTTAGTCAGCCATGACTTAAACTTCCATCATGGTGGCCGGATAAAACTTGAGCTACCAGAAACCACCAGCATTATGTCACATACAATTTTTTCTTCTTGAAATCATCTAAGTCTACAAAAATGTGAACTCGAATAGTATTATTTTGACTGGCGAGTAATGAAAAAGTTTACAACTTTGGGATATATACAAAGTTTCTACTAAACATGTGATGAATAAGCATTATTCCCGATGGCATGATCATTCCAGTATATGAAATGACCTTTCCTCATTGATGTCCTTAGGTCTCGAAATGCAATCATCAACCCTTTATAAGTGGCTTTCATCGGTCAAATGTCATGTATCTCTCAAAGGAGACAAAGAAGAGATATCATAATGATGGATGGATTGATTTTCTGCTTCAGATCAGATAGATAGAACTCCGTCACACGATCTAATGCCAGCCAATTTATCTCTTTTATTTGGAGATCTTGGACAAAGAGAACATATCATCTAGTAAACTTCGCCAAAAATCCTGTACATTATATAAACATTGTTGAAAATAAAGCTATTACTATTGCTATTATTATTAATATTATTATTAAATTGAAAGATATATGTTTCAAGCGAGTAGGTAGTTGAGTAGTGACTGCTGATCTCTGGTTCGAAAACTGTGTGTTCAAATGTCTCTTCTGAGTGTTCATTGTGAGCAAGTGGATAAGACACACGATAATGCTGTGCTTTCCAATCCACAATATAATCTATTGTTATTATTAATAGACAGTACGGGAAGGAAAAAGAAATTTGACTGTTGTTTTAATTATACTTCTCATTCTTCTCATATATGTCAATGTCATGCAATACATAATGCTTATTGTACGTCATGTCTATTGATAAAATCAAGCTAAGAATTAGACTACATGCCTGAGTGGATTTCCTGTTATCCCATTTGATATTTTTTTCGAAAATTGCATTCATGTCTACCGAGGAAACATTCCACTGGAATCATATGGTGACATTGTTTTTGAAAAGGTAATTGTCTCAACCTCTGTTTTGATTCTGTCGCTACACTTAACTATATGAGGATAACATACTAGATAGATACAAATCCTTATTTTGAAATAAAAACATTTTTTTTTGTTTTTCTATAATATACTGAGGGAAGTTAATTCTGCTCATCACACCCCCTGCTGGAAGTGTATTTCATATATTTATGATTAGCAATTATATATATATATATATATATATTTGAATTTTTGTTCATTCATTTGTGTTTTCAGAATTATATTCGAGGTTGGTGACATTTGTGCTGCCAAGTCACCCTTGTTACACACGTATCCCGCATATGACGTTAATGAATATAGCTTCTGGTATTCGTCTCTCTTTCCATGTGTTCATATTCGATTTCCGAATACAAATGTTGTCCCAATCAATGCTGTGGTTTTTCTCCAGTGCATGTGCAGTTATATACCTTCAGATAGACTTCTTGTTGATTCACTCTTATTTTGAGTGATGATCTAAACGTTTGAAATAAATATACTGCTTGTGAATATTTCATTAAGAAATCAGAAAATTTGGCCGTTTTTTTGAAGAAAAGCTTAAAACTCACTCGAAATGCACACTAAATTTGTTGGTAATGACTATTTTCCACTGTGGGCTGAAATTCAAACTGACGAATGTTAGTTGGTAAATTTTCTGATATTCCTATTGTTCAGATTCAAGCAAGAGACATAAAGGAAGAATACTTTTTGGTCAAAAAATTCGATGTTAGTGTTGGTTGAAAAGTGTTGATATTAGTAGATTCTATTGAAACCTGAGAAAGATTCAATCGGATATAATATTCGAAAACTGGCTTGTAGAGATTTGACTGGTTGCAAGATTTTATGGTGATGAGCTAACATTCGTTAAAGAACCATTGGAAAACCAGCTGGGATTAATGGACAACCAGCTGTTTCTTCTCTCTAGTTTGGGATTCTCCACAGTACGTACCCACCCTACTAAGGTTACCAAGCGAGTGAATTTATAGACATTTCACCACTGAGACCCGACTTATCCAATGGCCCGGTCCATGAATTCTAACCGCTGCAAATTCACGCACGATATAGCGCTGTCTGACACTAGCCAGTGTCATCGGTGGCGAGTATTTGTCCTCACACTTGACCCGCAACACCCTACTACTCATAACTTCTCACTGAAACGCAATGTCAGCCCATAAAGCATTCTTGAAAACAGTATTGTCCGCTTAAGAAATGTTTCTTTCGAAGTGTTAATGATGCATGACTGCGTGAATTTTTATGAAATTTTAGCAGAACTCCTCAGATGAACACTACACATGCTTACTGTCTTATATACACTATGCAAGAAAAACATGAAACTGTTTAATGAACAGGGAACAATGAATCAATGAAAGATAACACAAAGATGTGAATGGATGTTTCACAGGTCAATGTCAGGTATACAAACAGATGGCGATAGAGGTAGTGTTAATTCCCTTTCCATCTGTCCTTTGTTATTCTTTCTGTTGTGTTCAACTTCATACTACTTATCATTAATAAGTAGCATGAATATATTCGTTACTACTACCAGCATGACCACAGCAGAGTATCACAAGAGCTCTTCACACAACCTCTTGTGTATGTCCAACACTAGTTACCATTAATATCACTTGTCACTTATTCTGCCTCCGTACTAGTCACAGTGACGTACGCAGGCTTTTACTGTTAGCTCTTCAACCCGCCATTCCCCTTTCCGTCTGCTTGTAGGACCCCTTTCGACAGCTATATCATAAATGTTTAGCACCTAGTTGAACTAGGCAGTCTCCTCCAGAGTACTGAATCTCATTTGATGATTGTAGCTTCAATATTAATAAATCAGTCCCATTATAAGTGCCAAGGACTTCAGAAGTTATTACAATGAAAGTCTAACAAAATTTATGCAACAGAACCAAATGTGGAAAACAACCGATAAACAGTGCATATTCAGGTAGCAGTTGACACACACATACAGATAGTACACCTAAATTTGTGAAGCGTGGCTTTATATACTACTCTTGAAGAATTGATGGACTTCAAAAGTCATGCCTGCAACGCCTCTCAAGTTAACGATTCTATATTGAAAAATCGTCGAAGGGTCCAATCTCTAACCTCCTTCCCCTATTTATATCCTCAACAGTGAATGGTCCCACGCTCATGAAATTGTACCGTGTAACATATATGACTGTCAAGTGCATAACATATCTATAGACATAGAAGGGACGACAGTAATTTATTCTAATAATAATAATAACATTCGAACTTTTGGTGCAAACTTGAAAGTCTTTCAATCACTTTCAGGATGTTTAACAGTTGGTTTTAATTCTAAGACACCGCCGTACACAGTGGACTCATCTTCTCTACTTGGCGCGATAAGTGGTCCATCAGTATCAAGAATCCTGGACCGCACCACCACCCTTCTCTAGGAACACTTACGTCAGCAGAACGCCTCAATAATTTGTCGGTGGGGTTCTGTTTGGATAACACTTAAGTCCATCGATCCACAGCTGTTGCTTCACAACTTTCCAACACTCCTTTTGTTACAAAGAATGCATACTTTACCCACTGATTACGTAAATATGTCACCGTCATAGAATCGGTCCAAAAGAATTCATCACAAGCAGAGTAATTTAATTCCTTCGGTATCAAATGGACTGTAGCAGGTAACACCCCGAAGCATACCTCTCATGCATCATATACCCCCATGGTTGTTATGAATAACAGCTATAACAGCAATTTATTTGTCCTTTCTTTTTAACAATGGGTGCAATTCAATGGAACTTCTAGCATGATTTATATTACCTGATATACAGTTCGATTTCATATGCCCTAGTCTCAGGCAAGTAACACTGAATCCCTTCTGTTTCGCAAACTCTTGCACTCTTTCCAATTGTAACATTTTAAGAAAATCATAAAAGTTGTCTGGCAGTACTCCCAGATGGTTTTCCAATAGTTCTCTCACCAATGTCAGCTCGCGATCAGTCTTGTAACCAGTCAAATCCCTGCTGAACAACGCTTGAATAGGATTTTATATGAACATGACTCAAAAGAATTCATTACTATATTATATTCGTTGTTATTCATAATTACTTACTTTAGAATATTGGTGTTCAATTTAGCGTTACACAATTATACACATATTACCGCACACACACGTACATGTTTTGGAATGTAGTCTATTAACTGATGTCAGCTCATGATTAGATCCTCCATGCAATATTAACAATCTATCTTCAAATAACTTTGGAAAGATTGATGTCAACGACTCGATGCTACCCTTAAAAATAACCCTAATGTTATCAATAACAATAATTCTTTCATTATTATTAGTAGTAGTAGTATGGATGCCCATAACTGTTAACCTGATATGAACAGCAGCTTACCCAAAGGAATATTCTTTGTTCACTAATCAATCTTTTCAAATTTCTACAGGCTAAAACACCTAAACATGAAAATGGAGTTTGCTTCAAGAAAAGTATGAAGACAATAGAAAATAACCAACACTATTGGCTATTTAAGTCAACAAATTAATGATCTGTTACGGTCGATGTCACCGGCTGAAATGAACTCGTCATCAATTGACGATATGATCAGATAGACTTCTGCGTGTGATTATAATAAAACGAACACGATGAACACAGTTTTATTGATAAGCTAAAATACACCTATTCATCCGTGGTACGACCCTCTGCTTCACTGAGCCACATCGAAATATCAAAAGACAAAGACGGAAGAATATTCTTTGCGTAATTAAAAAAACCGATTTTCTTTATTCAAATACAAATGCCCGTTGATTACAGACTCCAATTAACTTGGAAAATGAGTTATTTCTTTTTGAAGTAGATATGTTATTGTTTCTCAGATGTATTCATCAAACAACAAATATTCTGACTCAAAAAGTCGGAAAAAATACAGGGAAAAAAACGCTTTTCACGATCCGAATAATTAGGTAAGACGTCTAAATTTAGCTATAAATGTAGGACCATAATTACAAGAGATAGAGGGAACAATAAGTAAAGCATGACAAATGTCAGATGATTTGGACTTGTCACTGATGCTTCTGTTATCGAATAATGGCAGGTGGATCGGGATCACTTTTATGCCTAGTTTAGAATAACAGCTGTTGAGTAAATTGTACAAAGGTTTCATGTTGACCAGGGCGAAATTACCGATGTTTGAATTGTTGACAATAAACGATTGAATAAGCTCTTGATTCTGACCTGGTGACAGCGTTGAAGTTGAGTAGACGACATCTCCATTGGGTGGGCATAAAGACATCGCATGTCTGCGTCGAAATTAGAAATTGATATAAAAATAGAGTTAAATGAACACACCACGCATAGGATTTCATACAACTATAAATGCCATATTATATTTCCTTATAATAATAATTAAAACAGAATTCACACAACTGGATGTGTACCTGTATTCTCCATTGAGTGAGTGAGTGAGTGAGTGAGTGAGTGAGTGAGTGAGTGAGTGAGTGAGTGAGTGAGTGAGTGAGTGAGTGAGTGAGTGAGTGAGTGAGTGAGTGAGTGAGTGAGTGAGTGAGTGAGTGAGTGAGTGATGGTGTTACCCTCTCCTCATTAAGGCTCTAACCCGAAGTGTTCCTTCCATTAAGCACCACTTGGGCCTCGATGGGATCCACTTTCTTCTTGTACAAGGGGGTTTCAGTAGTTCTATTTAATTCAGCAATTCGAACTTTCCCATTGATTAATTGATAATTGGACCGAAGTGCTCGGCCGGCCTCAAGTTAACGACATGTTCGCTGCTTGTATGCAGATGCTTCGACAATGTCTGCAAAACACTTTGACATTTCAGACGATGGATATTGGGGTTCCAGTCTTAGTGGGGGGTGGGGCACACCATCACCGAATCACTGCGGAATGCAGTTACATCCAACTGACGAGATATCTAAATAGGATGAGATACGCATCCATCAATTTACTTCAAGTTAAACAACCAGACATCCTCCAGAGTATTCATACAAGGAGCCAATACGTCAACCTGAGAGTGACCGAGCACTTCGGTCCAATCACTCAACGAGAAAGTCCAAATCGAATTAAAAAATTCAAACAACTTTAAACTATGTACCCACTGAACAAAAATAACGATAAAAATAAACCAATAATAACAATAATGCGCCATCGATACAGCCTGAAAAAAGGAAAGACATTCTAAGCTGCGGGCAGGATGTTACAGAGTTCGTAGGTTGTTCCCACCCCGTCATAAACGACTTGGTACGGCCAAATGGCGACGGAAAAGGACCCATATCTTCAACTCCTTCATGTGATCACGTGCTCATAGTGTGTTTCCCTACCAACTAAGTCCTTCCTTTCCCATTGTATGTGAAAACTTGGGATGTTTTTTCACAAAAAACTAATGGAAATGTTCAGTGCCTATGTGACATATAAAGGACCGCGCCTAATGGAATCGAAAAACTTTAATTCCACACATATTAGCTCGAGAATTCGAAAGGAATGAACTGGTGAGGATGAACCAGGTTTCTTCACACACACACACACACACCCGCACAACAAAGACAACCCAACTACTCCTAAAGCTCCTCTCTACTGCCTTGAGGATCAGACTTCACAACTCAAGGGCCAGGGATGAGTTGCCTCCTTGTGATAAAAATGTCTGCTTCAATTCAAGTGTCTGGGAAGTATACCCCCCCCCCCCAAGTCGTCACACAAAATATTAAGTGGAATTATGATTTTAAAGGGAAACTCCACTTACGCATTACTTCGTCGAAATATACTAGGCAAATTATGGAGGTACGTGTGTGTATACAATGATATGATTATGAATACTAAATTATGGTCGAAGCGTTGCCCCAGTTATAGATAGTAAATCACTGTTTGTTATACAAAAAGTACTCATCTAATATGGAATTACATTTTGCTGCAATGCCAAAATTCCATACTTACATGGGAAGAAGCTTGCACAGAAAACTCAAAAAGGGAAAGATGACAAGTGGAAGCTGATACAGTCACCAGAACGACTGCAGAACAGAATATCAAACTATCAAACAATGAGCAACAAAACCATAAGGCGACTGAAGAAATAAGTGAGAAAAAAACACCAGGAAAGACAACGAGGCACTTCAACGACACTAGAAACTGAAATGGAATATGCAATAGGTACCACCTCAGAGCATTGGATCAAATAAACAGGTGACTCTCAGAGAAGAGGAAAACACAGGCAAAGCTAGTGGGAGATGGTGACGGCTAAGTGAACTCAACCAACAAAGATACCAGAAAAAACCGGAAATTGTCAGTTGATCACCTTACAGGACATCTAAATCAACCGACAGCCTGTGCAAGAATTGGTGTGGAATCATAATTCTGTACACATCCCAAACAAATTATAAAGACACTGTGGTTTATGCTACTGACAACATTTATTAGTAGTATACAGACAGATTGAGATAAGAAGTAGCTATTATTCGAAACATTTTAAGTCACATTGGCTATAGAAGTAGAAGTGTTTATTTGTGGAATCTGAGTCTAGCTGCTTACGTTGTGGTCAAGAAATAATTTCAAGGTTTGACCTTCAGAAAGGCAGCAACCAATCAGAACAGCTTTAACTCTCAAAAAATGAAACTGCCAATCAGAAAAGTCTATTATCCGCTGACCACAAATGTAGCTAAATTTCTATTAACACGGTGTGATATTCCTTAGTGAAAAAGTCCTTTACCAAGTCTCTTGTCTGCTTCAGTTACACCACTTAGTCCTTGAAACAATAAAACAAGAGATGGATAGGGAATTTTCGCCGAAAATTCGGATAAACAAGTCTTCCATCCATCAAACTGTGCACGATACTACCAGTAGTCATTATCGAACACAGCCTACAAATGCTGCTGTCAACTCTTTACTTCATATTCATCCATTACAAAAACGCGTTCGCGATAGATTGTTTTTTATAACTTTGAAACTGTTTCAACACCCACTGACTACAGAATACAAGAAACCTTTATCAACCTCATCCAAAAACAATCTGATAATGGCATAAAATGTAAAACGTCATTCACAAGGGAAAATTCAGTTAAGTCTCTTTGAACTGAAGACAGGAGAAAATAAGTGCTGCTGCCTACTATCATCGAAAATATTCCTCAATGTGGTGTGGGTCTGGAACAAAATGCACTAGACCAAGGGGAGGGGGCGGGAAGACAGGGGTGCATTCAACCCGTGGGAAAACCGGTAGAGAGAAAGCAGTTGTATTCAACAAGGCCAAAAAGCATTCTTTAAATTATTGTCAGAAAGGGAAGAAGGAAGGAAATTGCAGAATGTTCGCCACTGGTGATTTCAACACTCGGCCATATCCAATATCTCTCGAACTCATACCAGAGAGGAAGTCATGGTGTCCTAGCCCATAACGCTAACCTAACACAAATATCCTTCATCCCACGACGCTAGGTCATGCATCGGCTGGCTAACCACCTCTCCTCTTTTTCCAACCTGTCGCAGGGAGACTGGCTAGCGAACACAGATGACCGGTACGGCAGCCTTCTATAAGATGATATTCGTAGCACATATCTCCACCAAGCCGCTGGTCAAAGCCAATGGTTCCATTTGGTGACGACGACACCCAATGATCGGTGACCTCCACTGTGTCCAATCCAAACACACGCTTCCGAACCTAACATTTACTCACAAGATGATATCATCTAACGCAAGCAATTTTACTATGGAGACAACGATGGTCGAATTTACTCAGAGTTGCCACACATCTTCATCCCGACCAGAGAGTAGGTCAGGTTTCACAAGCATGAAGTAAGACTACACACACCGGAGCGCACCTGATCTTTGACAGCCAGTAAGCTAACATCATGACATCGCCAACAACAGTCCCACTCCTTCCAAACAACTTCAGTTCAACAAAAGATACCAAGCAATTATATGAGATCAGCGGTTATCATTTCAGTCAAATAAGGAAAATAAACTACTCTCAAGAACAACAGTATAAAATGAAACAATACGAATGGATATACATACATGTATCAACTTACTGAAGAAGGTTTAGTTGCTTTTTCGATAAACCAGTACGTGCATTGATTTTCCCAGGACTAAACACATGAACAGCATCAGATGTTATGGCATATCGATCAGCTGAGCATGGAACATTCACTAAGATTTTATTAAATATAAAGTTCTCATCAACTTTGGTTGGTGATAAGTAATTGCTAAGATCGTTGGAACAAATAACGTCTATTTTTGTTCGGATTTCTGCCTCAGTGGTAGTGTTTTCAGGCAGTTGAAATGTTTCAGTTATTTGTTGAACATGAGTTGTACGTGATGGTGAACGGACTACGCATGTTAAGCGATCTTAAGAATAAGTAGAAATAAATGAAAAAGAATAAAAATGTATTGAATAAATTAAACATTAAAACGTACTTCATACTGTCGCCAATAGATATGACCGATTGGACTTATGTGTGTGGTTATTATGATACCAATGCAATGAAGAACTCAAATGATGTGAGAAGTACACCTATTTGTCCTTAATATCCGCCGCTTCACTGAGCCACGTAAATATTGAAAGAAAAAGACTGGCGCCTGTGACTGTCAGGATACAACGTTTTCATTAGGAAGAAAAGAAAACGTCATATTCACATATTTTTAACCGTATATTTTCATGGCGAGTTTGAAAAGTGGTCCACTGAAACCGACCATCGACAACTCTTTTCTGAATAAAAGGTACTTTGATGACACTCTTATAATTTGTTGGAAGAGATATGACTTAAATAATATCTTTTAAGTTTTTAATAGCTGCTAACCAGCCATCAAATTTGCAATTGAAGTAAAAGCCGGAAAGGCAACCTCCGTTTCTGGACGTTCGACTGACAAAGAAGATTGACGGGGCTTTGAACAGATCAGTATATAGAAAGCCTATGTGGAACGGACAATTAACAAACTTTTACAGTTGTGCACGCATCAATCACCAGCGGAAACCGATATCTCCTTCTGGTAGAATCCAATGAATCTGCAGCCCTGATTCAGTAGAAGAAGAGATCGCTCTGTTGAGAATGGCTATTCCTTGCGCTGTAATCAGGAAGATGTTATACATGGATATTGCGTTCAAAGGCGGCCTTCTGGCAGACATTCTGAAGAGGAGAATATCTAACGCTCTGAATAGAACGTTGTCTAATGTTACAATACGACTGCTTTTCTCTTACCACCAAATGTTCCTCAACAACTGTAAAGATAAACTTTTGCAATTCACCACTTCTATGTGTCTCCACCAATTCAATGACTCATTTGGAGTGAGATATATAGGTCGTTCGATGCCTGTTTTATCAAAAAGAGTCAAAAAACATTATCCCAATTGGTTACGAAAAGGTGACGCGGCTGCTCTAGCCGCGTTCATCATACACAAAATCATAACCTTCACATACAACTGAAGTATTATTGTGGTGAGAGCTGTCTGCTAGCCGAAATTGGCAGACAGCAATTTACGTCAATGTTTACCTTCCAAATCTTGGTCATGAGAAAAAAACAAAAACAAAGACTAACTCAACAGCCAATAACAGCAGAATTTGCGTGGACGGATACGATTCGCAGATATACGGTCCGACCTTAAAAGAAACGGCCACAAAGAGATGACAGAATAACCTTCAGCAGGAAAACAACCTATCAGAAGACGTTATCCCTCTGCTAACAATAATGAATAATAATGAACATAAAAATCTATAAATATCTGTTGGTTTTTCTGAATAAACGATGTGTTACCTGGCTCTTGTCCTCTGGCGTTACATTATTATTTAAGATAAGATAAGATAAGCTTTATTCCAAATCAGTACTTGTGATACAGAATGGAATTCTCAGCATTTTACTACAATATTGCATCCAGTTAGTACATTAACAATAAATATAGTTCTACATAGATTAAGGTTATCTCAGTCCGTTTTGATAACAACATATTAGCATGTCGGTAGCAAAGCCAAAATTAAAACAGAGTGTTTGAAGGTGTTAGAAAAGTAGATACTACTAGCATATTTACTGGCGTAAGCGATAGCAAAATGGTCGAGGTATACAGAGTGTGAAAGAACGAACAAGAATGTTTTAAGTAGAGTTTGCAAGGAAAAGAGAAACAAAACAACACATAACAAAATAAAAGGTAGAGAGAAAACGTTGTACCTATAAATGATGTGAGTTGGAAAGACGGGATCCAATTGTTCTACTGACTATTTAATAAGTTAAAGGTTTCACGCCTAATGCTTTCTTTATCGCACAGAACACGAGCTAAGTAGGGTATGGATGAGTTTTTGTACTTACTAGTGCGGGCATATAGTTTCCTATATAGGCTTCTGGTTTTCCCTGAAGAGATACATGGGGAGAGTTGTGAATGTAGAGGGTGTTGTGAGTCAGATAAAATGGATTTTGCCCATTTTTCACATGAGTCCATGTGCCTGTCCACCAGAATGTTAACGAGCTGGCTAAGTGGCAAACTGCTTACCCTGCTGACAACCTTTAACATCCTACGTAATAAGGTATAGTCCTTCTTTAGTAATAGCCCAGGAAAACCTAGGGGGAACAATAGAGAATAATAGGCAGAATACGGGAGTTAACAAATTGTAGGAGTAAGGGTTGGGTTACACCAGAATGTCTTAACTTCTTGATGTAGAAGGTAAGACGGAATATTTTCTTAGAAATCGTCAAGATATGAGACGACCAGGAAAGATCAGAAGATAGAGTGACGCCTAGGTATTTAACTTCCGACTTGGTTTCTATTTCACTGCCATCTATGTTGCACACCTCGTGAGTGCTAACCAGTTTGTTTAGGTCAGATTTGTGCCTAAAGGTGAAATTAACTGTTTGGCATTTGGAGGGGTTTAAGGTGGTAAGACCGTTTTCCTTGGACCATTGGCTGATTTCTGATAAAAAGCCATTTAGTTTAGAGCAGTCACTTTGACATTTGACAGGTAAAGATACAGTTAGGTCATCAGCATATTTGACAAAGTTAATGTCATTTGAAGACGGTAGGTCATGTAGAAAGAAAGAAAAGAGAAGTGGTGAGAGTACAGCCCCTTGGGTGACACCAGCTTCAGTGAGCACAGCAGAGGAGGATTTGCCTTTGTATACGGTGTACTGCATTTTGTTTGAAAAGTAGGAATGCAACCAGTTAGTGACCCAGGACTCGGTTTGTGTCATGGAGAGCTTATTTAGCAAGAGACATCTAGGTACAGAGTCGAAAGCAGAAGTGAAGTCGAGAAACGTGCAGTGGACGTATTTGGCATTTGTGTAAGACGGCTGCAGCGTCTAAAGTACTCCTACCCTGTCTGTATGCAAATTGTTTGGGGTTTTCGAAGCTTTTAAGGGAGGGTTCGAGTTTAAGAAGTACTAGTTTTTCCATGAGCTTTAGAAACGGGGAAGTGATGGCGATGGGTCTGAACTTTACGTTCTTGCTATTTCCAGGTTTAGGGATAGGGACTATTCTAATGTCTTTCCATGGAACAGGTACAACGTTTTCGGAGAAAGAAGCATTTAGGATATTAGTAAGAGGATAACATAAAGCATCTGCACATTGTTTTAGAACATATGCAGGTATGCCATCAGGGCCAAGACTATTATTATATGGTCATTGTTATTAGTACTATTATCGAGAACTTGAGAAGCTTACTTAGTAATCCAGTTTGTAAAGCGATCACTGATTTCGTCCCTGAAAATGTAGACATATTCAACATATTATCATTCTTCTTTAAGTTCAGGGCTAAAACAGTCACTGCGGAACCCAAATCCATCTTATGGAAACCTGAGGAAACCAGAAAGAAATGCGAAAGATATATATGTATCTTTATTAAACCTAATATACTCAAAAGTGTTCAGCTTAAAACTTCGGCTGCCGAAGCAAACCTCCATCGATATGTATTGCATAGAATTTCTCGTACTCAGTTTGTTTCAATCTAGTAAAGTATGATCTCCAATAATAATGTTTACTCTGGTGAGTATTCAAACCGCCTGCAACTTAATACTCATTCGCAAGTTTCCATCTACTAAACATGAGAAAAAGCATTATCCAACTCGATGAATGGCATGATTATCCCAATACTTCAGATGACCGTTCCTCAGTGTGGTATTCTCCTCGGTTCACCAAGATCTACTCCCGAACATTTTATATGATTGAAATTCAAACAAATATTGTTGTGTATTTCACGAAGGAGAAAACAAGAGAGATATCATAATGATGGATTCATTTGCGCTTCAGGCCTGATAGATAGAACTGTATCAAAGGATCTACTGTCGGTCGATTAGTCTTTTATTTGAAGATGACGGACGAAGAGAAAATATCATATGATAAAGTTCGCTGAAAATTCTGTATATTATATAAACACTGTTTAGAATAGAGCTATTATTATTATTATTATTTATATATTTTCATTATTTCTCCAACAGTCTATAAGATATAAGTATATGTACACACACTTTGCCAGCTCGATATTCAATTGTGATAAGGCTGTTAGCACGAGACAGTGAAGTATCCATTAAGGATAATTACACTTCTTTCAACTCACTGGGTAGAAAGAAAAACAAACACCTTATACCAATGAACAGTTAGGATTGTTCAAGTGTTGGGATATGCAACTGTTTGCAGCAGTGATTTAACTGGTCACAGCATTTCATCATGATGAAGAACCATTGGAGAACCAGTTGGGGGGACTGAATAACCCTTTCATTCTAGTCTGGGACTCTTTCAGCAGTACACATCCACCACCAAAGTTCGAAACCATCGACCTTCCATTTATATGCAGCCTTCAATACGGAGCTACCGAACTGGGCAGCTACAGAAAATGCTCTTCGTGACACGGACTGGTTAAGTTTCTGACCTTATGCAGAAACACTAACTGACTGACTTAACGTTTGTGTTGAAGAGAATCCGAATTTTGTTGTTTATGCTGAAGCAGAGTACAAAAGGTTTCCAAACTTATTTCGGAGTGATGCAAGTGTAGTTTTCTTTTCCCGTTTTGGCTGGTTTGGACATCTTCGTTCAATCCGCCTGTCTGTAGTTAAAACGATAATGCAGAGCTACATAACTCAAGGAAGCAACCAACCTCTTTCAAATTTCTCCCGTTGACAGTAATTGGTGCTGGTTGTTGTTTTTGTTGGCTAGTTGGTTACCTTCATCACCTCCGCCTTCTCTACGTTCACTTGGAATCCTAGTTTAGCTGCCAGCTTCTTCAGACAGTTTGTTGGTTTTCGCCTGTAAGTTTTCTACTTCGCGTTAAGAAATCCAGATACTTTAGAATTTTCTTATAAGTCCAGTGTATTCCTGTTTTCTCGCTTCCGATGCACAGTCTGACGCATGATTCAGCCCACCACAATTAGCAATATCATAGATAGTTTTATATATATATATATATATATATATATATATATATATATATATCACTAAAGTAGGGCATTATAATGAACTTACTGAATTGTCCATTCACATACAAAGGTTCTGGAATACTGACTAGTCGACCAGGTGGGGCACACTTAATACACAATCCAGTTGGAAGGTCAATTTTCTCGGTTATTACATTCAAGGTGGATTGTAAACCAAATGGATCCCTTGTGATCCTGTAATCATACCTGAATAACCTTGTGTAAAATATGTAAAGTCTGTATCACATTCTCTGGTGTACATTTCATTTTCACTTATCAATTCCGTTGATGGAATGAATTCATTGAGATTCGTTGCGCTCATCGCATCGTCTGAAGGGTTATATCGGGTTAAGAATTGTCTGCGTGGGGCACTTTTCTCCATTGTGCTTACAACCTACAAGTTAAAAATGGATTAAGGAAGGCCACAACGTAATATGTAATTCATTGATTAAAACGCTAATCTGACAAATTCAAAAATCTCCATAGAGTTATATATAAAATTGTCAAGTGTTGGTTTGCAGGGATTCGACTGGTTACAAGATCAGGTCTACTTTGTAGGTTTATTAATGACACTGATGATATTAGATAGCTGGAAGCAATCAGCAGGAAGCCTTGGACCTAGGTTTCGTGCTAGTCGGCGGTTGTCAGAAAGGAGTATCTGCAACCTCGAAGGAACTCATGTCTCTTCTGAGATTCAAAGCCACCTCAACCAGTGCTACAGTCAGATACAGTCAGAAAATGGATGAACAGTGACTAATAACTTGAGAGCTCAACTCAAATCACAGAAACAAGACACAAGCAAATTCACATTATAACTGGCATCTGCTTGGTTCGGGGATTAAAAGGCAGACCGCCAAATTCTTCAAAATTATAAGTAGAGAAAATAGCTCAGCTCTCCTTTAGTTTGCTGAGGCATTTTCAATGGAGCACCTGAAACCCGATATATGTGTTTAGAAGGAGGAAGCAGTTATCAGTAGTTCCTTGGCCTAGTTATTGATTGAATGTCTCTATTCGCTCTTTTATTTGATTACGTATAACTGAAAATTTCCGTTTTGCATGATTGTGATTGTTTGTAATAAAGTAATTATTGCTATTATTATTACAACTGTATGCATACACTGATTTTTCTGTTTAAACTTGTACTCTTTGGATAAGTATGTTAAAATTGGTTCCGTACATAAACTTATTGATAATATCTTTAGACTGTAAGCAGTTGATGAGAAGCCCACGAAATAAACGATGGTAATAATAATGATTTACTTTATTCCAAAAACAGTACTTGTGATACAGAATGGAATTTTCAGCATTAATCACAATATTGCATCTAATTTCCTCAAATTATAAATAAAAATTAATCACACAGAAAATTTTCCACATTTACAATAAAGGTAGTGTCAAAAACATTCAGCATATAAAATGGAAATAGCAATAATAATGATAACAGCTAGGGTAATAATAATAACCATACAAGTGAAAATTGCCGTTGGCTTGTGTCACACAGTATTGGCAATGTGGTATAGAAATCATGTTACCATTCTATTCTGTACAAACAGCAGCTGCTGTTCTTGCTTTATATTCAAATTTATAAAGGGAAATGCATGCATGAAGAGATCTATGGGTCGAGTATTTGAGTCGATCTAAAGTGTATTGTTTAAATGTTATTTCACACAGTAACAACAAAACTTTAAACACTGAATCAAAGTTACAACAAAAGTACCAACAACTAACTGACAGACCATAATAATAACACTTGCCTTCACAATACACAAGTCTCTCTTAACAAATCTTTATAAAATTAAGAAGTTTCATCAACATTTAATTATTTTTCATTTTATCACAGCAGTGCAGATTGCTTCCAGTTTCATACAAACACTATACAATACTTATCAATTCAGACACTCCCTGACTGGTTTCAGGATAGACTTTTCCACAGATGTCCAGCAGCAGTCCGAGTTACTACTTTCCCTTCATGTGGCGCACACAGCGCAAGAGAAAAGAGTGAGCAAACAGAGATTTAAGTGACATACAATAAACACAAATTTGAGGGAAAGGAATAGTAATATGGAAGTGTGGTGAGAGCAGCCTGCTGCCAATTGGTTGACATTAATCTACGTCAATGTCTAGGTCACTAATATGGGCCTTGAGAAAATATGAACAAGGCTGATCCAACAACCAATCACAGCAGACTTAAACGTGGGCAAATATAATTCGCAGATAGATGGCTCCATTTTCGGAGAAACTCGAAAACAACCAATCAGAAGACTGCGTTTGTCAACTTGACTAGGCTATAATAATGTATGTGAAATTTATATAAATACGTGTTGATTTCCGTAATAAAATGAGCTGTTGCCTGGCCCTTGTCTTCTGTTGTTACAGAAGAACAAATAAGTACTTCGATCGGATATAACAAATCACGAAGAGTGAATCAATGCATCTACGCCAACATTCACAGCGATAATTTCAAGCCACCCATATCACAAATTGTCTCCATCCTTCATTGCTTCTTACCACAATTACGATGACCCCAACCAACCAGCATACACCTCCCTGCTGCTACTGTTGAGCAGTACACATATATGTCCTTCGGTCGACAGCCAGTCAGGCGACCAGCCAGTTATCACGTCTACTACGCCACCAGATATAGCGTAGGTTGGTTGGCAAATGCCAAACGAGTCCTCTATATCTGTGTAGAGATCTTGTTAGTAATCAACCTATTGGGGTTCGCTATCTGACGCAACTTCCCAAATTAGTGCAGTGATCAACACCCCCAGATACCACTTCACCCACTTCCTATATTCCCGCTGGGAGTGAGTCCATGTAGTCCAGTTAAGACTAATCCAGCATTCTTATTACATCACCGGGGCATTTGCCCATCAATGTTTTGTCAGTGGGTAGTCCACAATACTATTTTAGGATAGACGACCTGCACATATTGAATGGCTGATATACTGGCTGCATTGATAAAACTACCGTATTGCATAATCATCTGAAGATAAGGACCATCCTCTCCAAAAGCGGTGGGCGGTAGGTAACTTGTTACTGTCATTTAAAGTTTGAAAGATTCCACAAAGACAGCACTTTAGAAATAATACAGACAATTTACATAATTGACTCAAAACTAACCAACAACAACAACAGCCAGTACCAATTACTATCAACGGGAGAAATTTAAAGGTCACTTCCCGCCTTCACTTATCTAGGCAGTCAGCATCGTTTCAACCACAAGCACGCCACATGGATGAAGACGTTAAGGTCAGTCAGACAGGATCAGAAAGAAAAGACAACACACCTTCATCAATCTGAAGTCAATCTGGAACTCTCCTAAGCTCCGCCTCAGAATAAACAACAAGATTCGGATTCTATTCAACACAAATGTTAGGTCAGTCAGTTAGTGCATCTATATGAGTCAGAAATTCCACCAGTGATTGTCACAAAAAACACTTCCAACAGCTAGCTGTAAACTTTTATAAACAACTGCCTTCGCTCCTTACAGAAGATCAATCAAATGGCCGATCAAAAAGAATCAACAACAAAAAACTATGGGAGCAAACTAACAAAAAACCTATCGCTCAACAAATATGTAAGAGAAAATGGAGACAGATTGGACACACGCCACTGAGGAGATAATTGGGTGGCATCACGCACCAGCCAGGCCATCACACGATTGGAGCCTAAATGAGTCGTCCGAGGGTAACAAAGAGGTGGTCGTACAAGGCGGAGGAGATGAGAGACTATGGAGACAATCGTGGAGACAGCTAGCTAAAGAGAACAACAGAAAATAGAATAAAGTGAAGACATGCTGTTGAAGCCGTATGTTGCACTTGGAATCCAAGGGTAGGAGTGGGACGTAGTGCTTCAAGAGGACATCGCCATTCCACCCTGTTTTCTGTAGTCCTCTTTAGCCGACTAGACGATCATCAGCCATGACCGTTCATTTCCCAATCACAAGATCTGCATATCACACTCAGATGACCAACTCGTTATTTCTTATTCAGGTACCACTCGAGCGATGACCCAGTGCACAATGTCACTCAAAGTTGTTTCCTCAGCATATGTCCATTTCCCTAGGCATGCTTGTTGAGCGATAGGTTTTTGGTTGGTACGTAGCCAAAATACGTTCCTTGCTACACTTATCCTCTCTAAGTAGATCATCTTATCTAGAGTATTGAGCCAGCGAAGTGGGCAGCTTCTAATGAAAGGGCCAAGTCCCTGAACTTTATAGAATCGCCAACTTGACATGTGTTGGAGATCCGGTCTGTTATTCTGAGTAATACAGTAAGTGAGTTTCCAAACTAATTGTCCTTTCTAACTGTGTTTTTGACATCCTATTCTGTATCACCTCTACTTTAAAGGATGCTGCCCAGATGAGTAAAAAGCGTAGTTTCCTTTAGATTTCTTTCCTTGATAGCGATTGGTGCTGATTATTATTATCATTATTATTATTATTAGTGACGTATCTTCATCTCTGTCTCCACTATGTTCACGTGAAGTTCTGTCTTCGCTCCTCTTTCCAACCTATTGATTTTTCATGTATAGATGTTTGAGTTTGTTTTATGACACTAGACATGAATCATCCACGAAGTCCAGTCTTTGAGTTAACCCTGACGTGTATGCCACAGTTTTCTGATGGCTCTGAACGGTCTGTCTGCTGCATAATTCTCCAGCCCAAAATAATCAGAGGAATGTCATGACTGGTAGGCATTAGGTAGCTTTGTCTTACTCCTGTCTCTCCTTAAGGATTTTTCTGAATTTCACGTTGTCAATCACTTAGCATGTGTGACACCTCCTGACAGTTATTTCATGAGGTTTATGAAGATTTGGGGCATTCAATAGAGATAATAATAATGATAATTATAAGAGAGTTGACTCAAAGCACAAATCTCCTCAAAAAGACGTATTGTAGACACACATTCATCATCACACTATGAATCAAAATGTCAAGTACTGCTCAGAGCTTTGATTACAATTTGTTCAAACAAACTACCTACCTCATGAATGGTCGGTGGATTCTCATCAACATCATCATCATTGTGTACAACAACATCCTCCTCTGGCAGGGAAGAATTCTGATATTTGCCCAAGGTACGTATAAAATCTGTACCAGGTAAAATTGAATGAAATTTGCTAGGTATTGCTGATGATAATGTGACATTAGGGAAGTATCGATTGAACAAGAGAGCTTTCTTCGGTGGCATAAGCAGCGCGATACGCATCGATCGCCAGCCAACTGTCCCATATGCTTCTGTATAATAAGGATCAAAATGGGCTAATGCCGCTTTTCCATGAAGACTCAACTCAGAAACCTGACAAAAACAACAGACAGAGGAAAATGAAAGTTTACGAATAAGAAGTTTACACCAGTCGAAAAATTGATTATAATATTAAAAATAAGAATGCATTTTAGAAATCGCTGATACCGAAGAGGAATCCACAAAAAGAATTGCCTTCTTAGGTGTCTGTAATACAAGAAAACCAAATGGTGTAGTACAAACAGAAATTCACATAAGAAAAGTAAATGGACAGGACAACATAGACACATCTCCATAGCTTTGTTCCTCTCCAGTACAAAAACAAAAGTTTAATAAGGGCCCTCAGCTACACAGTCAGAGCTGTGTGCTGAGAAGGCGTAACTGAAGATTGACACCATCACTGAAAATAGCTATGCAGAAAACTTCATCAGGCAACAAACATATGACCATGGAAGTAGAAAGGGACTATGCTCAATCTGTAAATAAGAAGTATTCATATATACGACAGCAATTCAAGGGTGACGTGCCTAGCGAAATAATCATCAACAAGTTAAGATAATCTTTTTATCAAAGAACTTTTAATGCTGGTAAAATAAAAGTCATTTTTTAAACCACGACAAGTTGTGATTTGCAAATTGAAAGATGAAGTACCTAGGCGAGACTAACCACGTCTTCTTCGTGTATCTACCATCTGAACTGTGCTTATGGTGAAGCGAGTTATATTGGCCATTGCTATAGGAACTCAATTTTCTCTGCTCACTCGGGAACACCTACATACGAATTTGGCGTGGCTAAATAAAGGTGTAGTGAAAACTATTATCAACAGTTCGATAATAGACGACCACCTGATTCAAACCTGCCACAAAGCCTGTCGCTGTGTCATCTATCGGGTAGCAAATAGATTGCCAAAAGCATCCAGGTACCGGATACTCTACCAAACAGCAGAGGCTATTGAGATTCGCCCAAAACAATTGGTGCTCTATGTGAAGAGGAAACAGGTCCAACTATTACTACTGCCCTGGCCTGTAAATTTATGAATTCTGTATTATTGTTATTTTTTCTATTTTTGTCTGTCTTCTGATATTCAGTGTAGGGTTATGTGATGTTGATGCATGTTAACACACTTACAGATGCTCCTGAACTGTAATCTATTCATATTATTGATTGACTCGATGTTATTTAAACGAAGCAGAACAAGCTGCAGGCAAAGGAGACCTCGCCACACTCTACCAAACAACTAGGAACCTTTCGGGCAAACGTTCGACACAGATTAAGCCAATAAAGGACGACAATGGAAAGTCAATCACCAAAGAGGTGGAACAGAGAAGGCACTGGGCTGAACACTTCAAAAGATTTCTAAATCGTCCGCCACCTACAACACGCCCAGCAATACCAACAACGGAAGCAGAACTACCAGTGAACACTGACCCCCGACGAAATCAGAAGTCCTGAATGCAATCAAAATGCTTAAAGCTGGGAAAACACCGGGACCAGATGAAATCCCAGCAGAAGCTTTGAAAATAGACCCAGAGACAACAGCGGACTTGATGACACCACTGCTGGAGAAGGTGTGGAAAGAGGGCAAAGTACCCGAGGATTAGGACGGATACTTATTCAAACTACCAAAGAAAGGAGACTTAAGTCAATGCTAAAACTGGCACGGAATTATGCTCCTGCCCATCCCAAACAAAATACTAAGCCGCATCATCTTGGAGAGAATCAAACAAGCCCTAGATGAAAAACTTCGTCCGGAACAGGCCGCATTCAGGAGAAACAAATCATGTATTGATCAAATCGCCACTCCACGGATCATCATTGAACAAAGCTTGGAATGGCAGTCACCTCTCTATCTCAACTTCATCGACTTTGAAAAGGCCTTCGACAGCGTCGATCGAGAGGTCATTTGGAAACTACTTCGCTACTACGGGGTCCCATCGACAATTATACATCTCATCCAACAGTTATACGACGATGCTGCATGCCAAGTAATCCACAACGGGAAACTTACGGAGGCCTTCGAAGTGAGGACGGGAGTGAGGCAAGACTGTCTACTATCACCAATGATCTTCCTGACTGCAATTGATTGGATAATGCGACAGACAACGGCAACCAACGAGGGAACAGGCATAAAATGGACTGACACAAAAGACTTGGAGGATCTGGATTTCGCCGATGATATATGTCTGATTTCCCACAAACTGGAAAATATGCAAGTGAAAAGCAACAAGCTGGCAGAAGAAGTATCAAAGATAGGACTTCAAGTGAACATAGATAAAACAGAGTTGATGGAGATTCCTGACCAACAGCAACAACAACAAGAGACAACAATCAGCATAAATGGGAGGAATCCGAAAGAAACAACCTCCTTTACCTACTTAACTGGGAAGCATCGTTTCAACTACAGGCGGAACTGATGAGGATATCAAAGCCAGAATCGGAAAAGCAAGACAAGCTTTCATTTCCCTCATCTCTGTGTGGAGGTCAACAGTACTCAGCATCAAAAACAAGGTCCGGATTTTCAACTCCAATGTGAAGTCAGTGCCACCTACTATACGGATCAGAGACTTGGCTAGCGCGTCATTAAGAGCATCTCAAACAAACTACAGACCTTCATTAACAGTTGTCTTCTCTCAATACTCAAGATCAGATGGCCGGCCAGAAGAGATCAGCAACAGGGATCTCTGGCAATGAGCGAACCAACACAGCAAGAACCGATTGTGAAACAAATAGGCAGGAAGAAATGGAGATGGATTGGCCATACTCTGAGGAAACCATCAAGTGACATCACTAGACAAGCCCTCGAGTGGAACCCGAAAGGGAGGCGGCGAGTTGGTCGTCCAAGGGTGACTTGGAGGAGGTCATGCGAGGAGGAGATGAAAGCATGTGGACAGACCTGGAGCAGGGTGAAAAAGTTGTCAGAAAACCGAAGGCAATGGAGGTGCGCAGCTGAAGCCCTATGTTCCTCTAGGAACTAAAGGATATAATAATAATAATATTTAAACGATAATGTTGTGAAAAACCCTAATTCTTTCATCACATAGAACACGATGGAGAGGTTATCGAAAAGAATATTCTTTGTTTAGTAAAATCTTTTGATGAAAGACTCACTATCGTCAATATCTGTGCTCAAAATCCAGCACACCAATACTTATACAGGAATATTAATTGTTTTGAAGCCCTTACTAGCAGAGATCAATGAGTCCTCCCTCCTACGTAAGCGTACCCACGCGTACATTTAAACTGGTAAATACAGTGGGATGTGACATCATTTTTTCGCATGTTCTAGGGGTTTAGATGGATGGATGGATGGATATGGGCTTCACATTCTCAATTATTCGAATCTTAGCTGCACAAAAAGTCGTCTTTTTAACCGCAGTGCTCACTTTTTTGTCGAGTTACCAAGCTGCTATGATCACCCTGAGTAAGGTAGCTTGATAAATAAACGTCTCTCCTAGCGGCGAGTTGGACAGTGGGTCTTAGTGTTCCGCTGACCACTTTATGATATCTCCTATGAACTTGTCTGGACAATTATTATCAACCAGAGTTTATTTCAATTTTCTCCCTTCATCATTATCAAGTGTGTCCTCGGTGCATTATTCATTGGATCCTACTGAAGAGAGGCGCTTCACTAAGATTCTTGTGTACCGATACTGTCCTGTCCTGGTAAGTCTCCTATAAATACATCATTTTATTGATCTACCAGGCTGTCCGCTGACTAAGCAATATGTATCTAGGATAAATAAATGTAAATGATATGCTTTCTATTCTGAACTTCATTCATTCATTCGATTTAAAATTCAGGTGGCTTATCAGCTTATGATTTCAATCTCGTCGAAATATGCTTCTATAAAGTGGTACATTTTCCATTTTCCGATAAACTCTCAATGTACGACATATATTGCCGTCTACTAAAAGGGGTCGCCCCAATCGACTTCCCATAAAAAACAACACTGTCAACCTGAAAGAAGCAATCGCCTTGAAATATGAACCTAACATTGATAATACATAGAAGTAGTACGTTGTTTAAATAAGATATAGGGAACGGGATCAAGAAACTATGTGTGGAAATGTAATCACACAAATGTCAGTTATTTGAAATAAAGACATTATTTTTTTATTTTTTTTTATTTTTGATTACAGCTTGATTCCACATCGTATTTTTGGGACAAGTGTGGAATTTTTAGCGTGGATATCGGTAGCCCGAAATTCGCAGGCCGACCAGTTGATATCAGGTGTGCGTCGGCGTGGGCTCGAACCCCGGACCATGTGCATGGTCGGCGAGAGTCCTAACCACTGTGCCACATCAAAGAATAAATGTTTCATTTTATTTTTAATATTAATACCAACGAAGTAATTAACCAGGTCAAATGTATTTTTTCACTGGGTTAAATAATTCCACTAACCATTGAGCAATTTTATGCGTTGGTGATCTACACACTGACAATATAGGACGTAGAGAATTACTGATATACGTGTAGAATTCTTGATAAAGAAGGAATTAGGATGGTAGGTAGGTTAAAGTACCCTGTAGGCTGACCCAATTAGACAAATAATATCATTTATAAAATAACTTGCTGCATTGACTGTAAGTTAAGCCAACTCTACATAAGTCAGACCAGTATATCGGCGGTAGTCAGACTGTTAAAACGTAATGATTCAGTAGCTAACATGCAGAGTGATTGGCCCCGCAAAGATAAGTAATTTAGAAAGAAGTTAAGTGGTAGGTGGAGAATGTCATGTAAGGTAGACAAGTGAATACTGAATGGTTGAAGGTAATCCGCAGGAACTCCTGGACCTAGATTGACACTCACCAGTCAGCAAGGTGCATCTGCAGGCTCGAAGGAGCTCATGTCCCTTCTGAGATTCAAACCCGCGTCACCCATTGCTGCAGTCAGACACCTTACCACTGAGTTATTCGGGCTCACGATTCACCTCCTGTAGGACTGTATCGGATACTTTGATTGGACACTAGTCGGTAACTAGTGTAATGTTTCTAGTCCTATCTTCAGTGTAGACTGATTTCTATCAGTCAGGTCTGCGATGTGGCCAATCAATCAATGAAGTTGTGAAGCTGCATTCATAGAGATGTCTAGGAGACGTGTCATGCGCATGTCAAATAACCACCTCCCATGAAAACCAGTAAGGCGTACTGCTAGACAGCCGTTTCAGTTGTCCTACTCTGCTTGGGACTCACCGGTAGTAGGCACCCAGTCACACACCTTCAGGGTTACAGCCCATTAGCATTCGAGTACAAACACGCAAGCAAGTCTGTGGACCATTCATCAGCCACTGGAACCCAACTACTGAATGACCAACTTCTATCAATTCATGATTTTTTAACACGACTACCAACCAGTCAATGGTGTCATCGCTGGTGAGCATTTGTCCTCACTCCCACTCGACCCAGTGAACCCCACTGGTCACTTTTCACGATTTCCAACTAGAACTACTTCTAGCCTACTCCGTCCTGCAGCCAGACAGTCAAACTATTAGTCAGCATCAGATTAATTTTCATGAGTTTGTTTGTATAAATTTGATTTATTTTACTTAATTTTGATCACGGATCGATATCCCTGGTTTTCACAATGGTTGGTTTTTTCTAAGTGAAAGCGATCCGTGGTCAAAATTTTGAGAAACAAGTCATCAAATCCGTTGCCTAACCGTGCACAATGATGTTTGGAAATACGACGATGAACCCTCCTAGTTGTGCGTTTAATGTAGCTGGCTCGGAAGCTACAGTCAAAACTGGTAGGTATACACAGACGACGAGGCGAAATTAGATAGTTTGTCTCAATTTCTAAAACGTAGAAACTAAGGATGATAGGAAAGAAACACCTTGAACACTGGCTTATTCCTTAATTACTCTTCAATTTCTCCAAAATTATGTACTATACAACCCACTTGTTGTAACCATTTCTACCCTTTAACTGTGAGTGTATCAATTTTCTTTGTCAATTATAACCCCCACTGTTTGACATATTTAAACTGACTAATTATTGTTAACAAACATATCAGTGCAACTTAACTGGTAAAATGTTTTGTACTGTAATAAGTATGCTACAAATAATATATATATATATATATATATATATATATATATATATTAGAGTAGAGCCAGAGATGAGAATCTAATTGAGAAGTGAATATTTCTTCGCGCTCAGTTCTTTTGCTTTCTAAATATCTAAATTTTGGGTTTTTTTTCTAATATCAAAAGGGTAGTCAGAAATAAAAAGTAAAAATGAAACTAGGACGAAACAGCTGTCCAGTAATCCCAGCTTGTTTTCCAATGGTTCTTTAACCGATGTCAGCTCATGATGACATCCTGTGACCAATCAATGAAATCCCAACAAACCAATACTTGAAAACCAATGAGATGATCACTAGCGACTATCACTACTCAGGTAGGTAGTTACCTCGGGTTCTAGTGGGACTTCGTGACCAGTAGGGTGCAGCGGGTCGGATGTGAATACTCACCAAAGACATTGGCTAGTGGTCGCGCGATGTCGCGAATTGGTAGAAGCTGAAATTCATGGGTCATTGGATAGGGAACTAGTGCTCTAGTGGTCTACGAGCTCGTCTCGTACCCAAAAGGTCCTGGGTTCGAACTCCGGTGGATGCGTACTGTGAAGAGTCTCAAACTAGGACGAAACAGATGTCCAGTACTCCCACCTTGTTTTCCAATGGTTCTTTAACCAATGTCAGCTCATGATGAAATCCTGTAACCAATCAATCAAATCCCTAGAAACTAATACTTAAAAAAATGAAATAAAAGGGGAATAAATCGGAATACGTGTCTCCATAACACACTAACAACTCACAGAAAACGTTAGATCGCCACCTTCTTCATGTTGTTGAATACGAATTGGTTCATACGGTTGTCTTCTGGTTGCAGATGAAAAGCATCGACAGAGATTGTTAAGCTTCTTCTGCAGACATGGAAAACATAGTCAGTGAAAGGCAGAATGTCAACACATGTATTAGGGAAAGAGAAAGCGGAAGAAAAAATAACCTTTGAAACAGGACAGAACATTGACATTATGTGTATCCAAAACAAACTCACTACTAACAGCTTGAAAAAATTTGAGCATTCAGTATATGTGATATTCGGTATAATAAAAGTTCTTGTATTTCTCAGTGAATGGGAAAGACGATGTTATATTATTGTTGTTTTTACTGACGTTTCGCCATTTCAAATGCTGCTAATGGCTTTATCAAAGTAATAATATTAAATCAGAATAATTTACAAAATCTCAGTTTATATGCTTTATATAGCAACTTGATCATCCTCCGTCAGTGTGACTTGGTAATTCTGTTAACGTTGTTGTCAAGTTGGCTAACTGGTAAAGATAACAAGAGCACGTGTGTGTGCGTGTAGATTGTCGGATTTTTCATAAGCGTATAAAATTGGAGTCGCTGATCTTTTCAAGAATATTTTTGAAGATAACATCATTTCAAACAAATTCAAATCTAAAATATGACTGAGATACACGTTGATGATACTTTCACTGTGATAAAACGAGATCTACACAATTCATTCTTACAGAAACTGAACAGTCTGTCTCCCAGAATCCAGTTCACATGTCGGAGGCACAATTAGATCTCAATGAGGTACCTTTTCTACACCTAACCAGTTAAGAGGAGAGAAAATAGATATCTCAATAATGTACCTATATTCAGGAAGAAAACACATTCCAACAAATATTTAGACTTCGGATCATTACACTCACTCAGCACAAAGGTATCAGTTGTTTCAACTCTTCTTAGATGACCACCCCTCCTTAATCTTAATGGATGAGTAGGACAAAGAAGAAGAAATTTGAAGCACCGCTGAAATTCTTAAGAAAAATATAACTACCCAAAGAACTTCATTAACAGAATCAACACTGACATTAAATATGGTCGAAAATGTATTCCAAAGACATGGATAGATCTCGATAGCTGTCATTCATATAGATCAGAAACGTCAGACGATATCATCAAAAGAGTACTCAATAAACACAACATCGAGGTTTTCTTCGACACACACTACAAAGCAAACTTGTCCATGTAAAAGATCAACTTCCAAAGGATTCTCAATCTAATTGTTTCTATAAAGTAAAATGCTGGGAATGTGATGCGATATACATCAGACAAATATCACGAAAAACCAAAGTAATCAGAAGAAGTGAACGCTGCAGAGCCACATCTGCTCAACCACCGAGAAATCCACTTGTGAACTAGAAAAGCTGTGGAAATTATCAGCCATAAATCGTCTACACACTAGAAAATCAGGTCATACACTTGATTTTAACAATATTGAAATAATCGAGAAGAAAATTTCATTAATCGCAAAGAACATCTTCTATTGCATCAGAAGTACTTCATATAAATGGAATCCAAATTGTCTAATGAATAGGAATGATGGACTAGAAGAGAATTTGACCTGGTTGCATATATATATATATATATATATATATATATATATATATATATCAAAATTTAATCACAGACTTACAAATATTAGTCTACTTATGTTGTTAAACACTGTAAACAGTGTGTAGTTTCCATAAGATTTTTAGTAAACACGTGACATCGCAGTACACACGATGGAAGCGGGACACAATATCGACTTTGGTGGCAGCACCAACAGGTTCTACAGAGAATGGTTTTCGTTTGTATAAAGAAAGACTGGCTGCAGAAGCCCTACATATATGGGTGAAATGCAAAAGTTTGGACAAGCGTGAAGGAGTGGTCTTGTTCGCTGATGCATGGTAAGTCCTGGTTAATATATGATAAATGGATATGTGTTGTGTATATTGTACTTAATCTAAATTCCCAGTTGTTCATATTTTCTTATGGAGAGACTAACAAATGATTTGCAAATGTTCCCTCGTGCATCCACACCACCGTATAATACATATATATATATATATATATATATATATATATATATATATATATATATATATATGATAATCAGTTATCTACAGCCATGAACTTTAGTCGAACGTAATCTGATGCAAAAGTACACACTATTTACAGTGTTTAACAAAAAGTAGACTGATCAAGTGTTGGTTTGCAGGGATTCGATTTGATTAGTTACAGGATCTCATCATGGTGACGTGATGTCGGTTAGAGGAGGACCATTGGAAAACCACCTGGGAGTACTGCCAGATAGGTGTGTCCCGCCGTCCTACTGCTTGGGACTCTTAATCAGTACCCATTCACCACTAGGACTCGAGTCCACGACCTTCCGCTTACAATAAGGCGAGCAAGCTCGTAGACTATTAAGCCACTCACTGGGACCTGATCCAATGACCAGCCCAGGAATTCCAATTTCTGCCAACTGACGCTCGATATAGCACAACTGGCACTAGTCAATATCATCGGTGGACAGTATTTGTCCTCATACTCGACTAATAATTTCAAGGCTGTAGTTCCACATCATACTGTGTAATTCGAATCGGCTCATGGGGTTGTCTCCGTTGTATGTATGAAAGGCGTCGACGCAAATTGTTTATTTTCTTCTGGAAACATAGACAACACAATCAGTGTAAGCACGTATTTATAACAGAGGGAGGAAAATAGTCATTGAAACCAGACAGAACATTGACACTTTAGAGACAATGAAAAACACCCCACAATTAATAGTAGGTAGGTAAGTAGAAACATTTATATTTCACTTTCACTTTAAAATGGACAGATTAAGACATCATTTGGCGAAAAATCTGAAGACCAGTCATCAATGTGTATCTTTTTGAAAACATTTGTCGGTGGTTGAGTACATGTGGATTGGTCCATTTTTTGATAAAGGAATATTCTACACGCGACATGGACGTTGACAATATTTTCGATCTATACAAGGATAGAGAATAGAAAATTTTTTTTTAAATTGACAGACACATAAGATAATATGCAGACAACAAACAAAAATGGAATATGCGTGCAGTGAACTGTGATGAAGGCTTTACTGAATATTTAAAAAATAATTTCGGCGCTGAGTGCGAAGTAAACATGCATGTAAAGATCACGTATTTGTAAAACCTCAGCGAAATTGAAACGACTAAGTAATTCCAACGTTCCCAGTGTTCGACAAACTCGTTCGAACTTTTTCAGAGAAATTAATCAAAATTTAGGTTCATAGACAAGAATCTAAAATCATAAAAGACTTCCGAACAAGTCCAATCCGTCCCAAAGAAGATGCTTCTGCCTAATCTAAAGTGACACTGAAGCAGAGATCCTTCGTAAACACCTCTGCGAATCCCTGAGGAAAACATACTTCGCCGCAAGCCTATGACTGACGTCTTCCTCCAAGAAACTGTTCAGCCAGAACGCGAAAAACAAGCTATCGCATTGGGCCACTTCAACGTGCATATACCAGTTTACTTGCTCTTGTGGAGCTGAGTATATCGGCCGTACCATGCGCCGAATTGGAAAATGCGCTTGTGAGCACTATCCAGCCTGGCTAGTAAAAGGAGAACGAAAACGTGTATATAGTTCAGTGACGGGACATCTGGTCAATTCAGGACATTCAATGCCATTCGAAAAATCCTTCACCTATCAAAGGGAGTAAAATTAAGACATCTGGGCATAGCCGAGGCACTAGCCATCCAAAACCTCAAACCCACGCTATGTATCCAAAAGAAATATGTCCAACTCTTGTCCTTGACATGGCCACCATAAACAGGTAATTCTCTTGGTAGTGACTATCCCATTGCCCTTCATATCCAAACTTCCCGTTTATTCATGTTATCTTAAGATGTTCTTAATCCCTACTTACACTACCATACTTTCATATCCGAACTTCCTGTCTATTTTGTCATTTTATTATTTCTACATGTTTAATCCCTGATTGCATAAACAATTATTCGTCACGTTAGTTATGATCCCACTAGATATTTTCATCCAAACATCCTGCATATTTTGTTGTTTCTACATTTCTAACCCCCAATTGCACAATATGTCAATCTTCTCAGTAATTATGATGCTATTTTGTTTTAGTTTTACCCGTCCCCTTTTTATCATGGCACTTTAATTCCTAATTGTAGTTTTATTAATTTGATCCTTGATCGGAAAATATTCTGGAACTTTCCCACCCATTTATTATAAATATACGAATGTAATAGCCTAGTGGATGACTTCATCGAAAAGAAAATTTCTTCGTTGTAACTGTCTTTTTATTATTCCCTATGATTACATGTGTATATTCCGTGATTTAATCAAAATAAAAATAAAACGGGATATATGTCACAATGAAGATAAATAAAACAAAAAGGGGGTAATAGTACCTCTGTTCTGGTATCAGCAAAACAAAATTTACCAAAGAAGATTTGGTGCGATGATGAATTGTTTTTGATAAGCGCATAAAGGTGGTTTAAGCTTCTTAATTGCTGTGGCATCTACAAACTTTAGGGTACGCCTCAAAAGCGTTTTATAGATATACTTAAAAGCCGTGTGGAAACATCAATTCTATAATGTCCTGTCTCTTGTGTCTGAAAGTGAAATTACCAACATTACACCTGAAGGGATTCAGTTTAAGACAATTTGATAATAAGAAACAGCTGACTACTTTCTCACACAAAGCTATTCGTTGTGGAACAATCTGATTGAAATGTCACCCGGCGTGGAAACATCCGAATCATCAACATACTTCACAAAATTGACTACATCCTACGAATATTACACTTTACCCTGTGTTGAATATATATACAGTCTTTATGACACCTACAAATAGCCTAAAGATTCCTGTATATAATCACCCTCCCTTATCAATAGTTATGTAGAATAGAAAACAATCATTTGACCATCAACACGTTTTAGCTAGCTCGCTATTCCTCATCCAATCTCATCCATCCATCAATCCCATCTCAGCTTAGATAGCATTGTCCATCAGTCGAGGAACCATCGACATATGGATGGATAACTAAGCAGGCATGCGGAACACATGTTCTAATCACCTCACTCAATCTATGCAACCGCCTCACAACCTCGTCGTCCACTGGTGATTTCCCATACTCCTCCTCCTTACCTACCCCACATCCTCGATCGACACCTCAC